CTCTCTCTCTCTCTCTCTCTCTCTCTCTCTCTTTCTCTCTCTCTCTCTCTCTCTCTCTCTCTCTCTCTCTCTCTCTCTCTCTCTCTCTCTGTGTACTGGACTGAGAGAGAGAGAGAGACGTGTGATTAAGATGGGAGAGAGAGGACTGGCGAAGGCCAGTGGTACTTACCTGTGTACTGGACTGAGAGAGAGAGAGAGAGTTCTTCTTCTTCCTCTTCTAAGTCCACCATCTCTTCTTCCCCTCTCACTGCCTACTTCTCAGTATCTAAGGACTACGAGAGAGAGCTGTGACATGAGACTTGACGACATTGGATTCAGACTTGACTTCGGGATTCAGACATTTGATGAGGATTATTTGGGACCTGTACCGCAGACTTGGAGTTGACGACATCTCCCATCTTCTCCTCCCTTCTGTCTCTTCCCCCTCCTCTTCGTCTGTGTATGTTTGGGACTGGCGCTGTCTTTCTGTGTGAGCGCCAGCCCTTCACACCATAGTATGATGATGATGTATGTCGAGACTGCATTGCAACATTGATTGTGCCGGATCATTGGTATCTAAAGTCTTCCGCTTCGCCATTTTGTACTTTGTATGAGAGGTCGGTTCTTGTTCTGTCTGCACCTTTACGGCATGCAACAGTTTGGTATCGGAGCGGACCTCTCAATCAGAGGACCCGCTCAATCAATTAGCTAGCTTGCTTGATCTAATGATCTCTTGATTAGTGAATCAGGTAGGACTTCGTCAAATCTCTGAAATTTTTTCTTGCTTTCTCGTATATTTGAAAATTCGTGATAATAGCATTTCGTTTATCTGAAAATTCCGGATATTTGCATTTCGTTTTTTCGCAACAAACATCTGAAAGCATTTCGTTTTATCTGAAATTCCGATGTTCGTATTTCGATTTTACGCAACAAATATCTGAAAGTTCTGGAAGAAACAGTTCGTTTCTCTGATATTAAAATCCGAAATTTCTGATATTCGCATACATAGCCGAAAAATTTATGACGTTTGTATTTCGTTTTGTAAGCAAAAATGGGTTAACTGCGAGGATCAGGGTCCTCGGCAGGCCTATGTGGCCCTGTCTGCAGCCTCACCCGTCCTAAGTGAAGGCGGAGGTGCCCGCCCTAAGTGAAGGCGGGCCTGGCTTTCTGCAAAGGCCCTCGGATGTCAATTTCATATTTGGGGTCCAGACACTTGCGCCGCGCCAGTTGGTTGAGAGAAACGCAGGCCGAGAAACCCAGACATTTTCTCGGCCTCTGGGCTTTCCAAAGAATGCAGGCCCTTGGCGTGATTCGCAGTTCCATACAGAGACAGTTGGGCGCCCAACCGAACGAGGCCCAGGCCAGCCCAGTAGCTGCTGCATCCAGGCAGCATCCTGGGGCCTTCCGGAAGCTTCTGGGCCCAGGCCGGCGCAGCCAGGCTGCAAGAGCAGCCCAGCTCTTTCCATAAAGGAAAGAGCTCTGGCCAGGCCAGGGCATTCGGTCACTTGCTGGCTGGCGGTAGCGCTGCTGGAGCAAGAGGCTGCGCACAGGCGATTGCTCACAGGCTGACTGCCGGCATTGGAGCAAGAGGCTGCGCACGTGCGGTCGTGTGAAGAAGAAGGGCGCTGCTGAGGGCAGCGCCATAGCCAGCCTCCATAGCGGGCTTGGCTTGGATACAGAGTGAGGCGCAGGGGTGGTCTTCGGGTGGCAGAGAGGACAGGTGTGGGTGAAGTCAGGGGATAGGTGAAGGATGCTGATGATGATGATGATGTGAGGGCATGTACCTTGTATTGGCGATGATCTGCATGGGCGGCATCTTCAAGTACTTCGGGCTGCTGATGATGTCAACAGTTGCATTGTCTTTTTGTAGTCTGTAGTAGCTGTGTAGGAGTAGGCTGGGCGCTGAGCGCCAAGTGTGGGTGTGAAGAACTGGACTCTTGTGTTGAGAGGAGAGAGTATGCTCTCCATGGACATTGGTGTTTTATTGGTGCAATGCTGCTCTCTGGACACGGTGTGACTATTTGGCTTGCAATGTGATGGTGTCATCTGGGATTGTCATCTCGCTGTTGCTTATTTTCCTTGCATAACGATAGAAATGATCATATTCTCGGATACCGGATTTATTCTGTTCTGAAATTCGGATCTCTATTCTATCTCGCGAATTTTTTTTTGAAAACTGAAATCTTGCGGAGCCTATCAGCATGGCATTTTAGGCATAGTAGGAGATTGTCATATTCGCAGGAACAGGATTTACTCCTTTTCTGAAAATCGCATCTCTACTGTACTTCGCAAATTTTTTTTTCTCAAAATTGCATTTGGTAAAAGCCGAAACTCTGCGGAACCTAGCCTAGATCTCGCTCTTACTACTCTTCTGACATATCTCACTCATAACAGATCGACAGATATATAAAAAAAAAAAAAAAAAAAAAAAAAGGTCCTCTTTTTTTTTTTTTTTCATTTGTATCTGTTGATTAGGGCCGGAGGAAAGTATTGTTGGATTGGTTTCCTACCTGCGTTTTCCCTCCCACCCACCCCTTTGCTTGCATTCCCAGTTGGTACAGCGCCACGTCAGCAGTGCCACGTCAGACAGTGCCACGTCAGCAGTGCCACGTCAGCAGTGCCACATCAGACAGTGGCATGTCAGCAGTGCCATGTCAGACACAGTGTCACATCAGCAGTGCCACGTCACACACAGTGCCATGTCAGCAGTGCCATGTCAGACACAGTGCCACGTCAGACACAGTGCCACGTCGGACACAGTGCCACGTCAGCAGTGCCACGTCAGCAACATGACGGGCCCAGCTCAGGGCATGCCAGGCACAGTGCCACGTCAGCAGTGCCACGTCAGACACAGTGCCATGTCAGCTCAGATACAGTGCCACGTCAGCAGTCCCGCTCCCTTTCCAGTGCCACGTCATCTCAGACATAGTGCCAAGTCAGCAGTGCCACGTCAGCAGCGCCACAGCAGCAGTGCCATGTCAGACAGTGCCACGTCAGCAGTGCCACGTCAGCTGTGCCACGCCAGCAGCGCCACGTCAGACACAGTGCCACGTCAGCAGTGCCACGCCAGTAGTGCCACGTCAGCAGTCTCACTCCCTTTGTAGTTCCACGTCAACTCAGTGCCATGTCATCTCAGACACAGTGCCACGTCAGCAGTGCCATGTCAGACACAGTGCCACATCAGCAGTGCCACGGCAGACACAGTGCCACGGCAGCAGTACCACGTCAGACAGTGCCACGTCAGACAGTGCCACGTCAGCAGTGTCACGTAAGCAGTGCCACGTCAGACACTGCCACGTCAAACATAGTGCCACGTCAGCAACATGACGGGCCCAGCTCAGGGCATGCCAGGCACACTGCCACGTTAGCAGTGTCACGTCAAACACAGTGCCATGTCAGCTCAGACACAGTGCCACGTCAGCATTCCCACGTCAGCAGTGCCACGTCAGACACAGTGCCACGTCAGCTCAGACACAGTGCCACGCCAGCAGTGCCACGTCAGCTCAGACTCAGATGCAGTGCCACGTCAGCAGTGCCACGTCAGCTCAGACACAGTGCCACATCAGCAGTGCCACGTCTGACACAGTGCCACGTCAGACACAGTGCCATGTCAAACACAGTGGCACGTCAGACACAATGCCACGTCAGCAACATGACGGGCCCGGCTCAGGGCAGTGTCTCGTCTGGCGAGTGTCGGTTCTTGTTCTGTCTGCACCTTTACGGTATGCAACATTTAGACTGAAACGACACAGGGCCTGTAGGCCCTTGTTTTCAGGCTTTCAGGCTGAAACGACACGGGGCCTCTAGGCCCTTGTTTTCAGGCTTTCCGGCTGAAAACAACATGGGGCCTGTAGGCCCTTGTTTTCAGTCTTTCAGGCAGAAAACAACATGGGGCCTGTAGGCCCTTGTTTTCTGGCTTTCAGGCTGAAAACAACACGGGCCTGAAAATGGCCCGTGCAGCCTGTAGCAGGCGGAGTATGTAACATTCCTCTTGAAGGATCTTGCTATCTCAAAATCTATCCGATGTTTGTTTTTTTGCTAAAGGACGATCCCTTCTCGTGCTAATGTGGCGGTATGGCATGTTTTTTTTTTCTTCTGCACTTCTGTGCTTGCGGCAAAAGATTACTGCTGTGGCAAAATATAGCTGCTGGGAAATGGAAAGAGAGAGTGCTTGCCAGATAACAAAAGATTGCTTCCGGACGCCATCGAGAGCGTGGAACCCTTCTGGCAAAGGTTGTGTTTTTTAACTCATGTTCTTTGTGCTGCACAGGTGTGGAACATTTGCTGCGAGACGTGAAGGATGCGACGGTTAGCACGCTAGCAACAGAAGTGAGTGTCTTTGGCAATATGACTCTTTTGTGGGAATCTTTGTTTGTTTATTATACCCTTGCCGCTGAGCTGAAGAGCGGGCAAGCTGTGTGTGTGCTCCCGTTTGTCTTTCGGGTGTATTTGTTGGTTTGTCGTTTTCTTGTTGGTAGGCTGAGTATAATGCCAGAGTCAGAGTAGCAGCACTGTTGAAGAGTGGAAAGCAATGAACCGGCTGTTGCAGGTCACAAATTCTGAAAACATTTAGTTAGGGTCAGTGTCCTTTTTTCGGTTGGTGTGGGACACTGAGTATAATGCCAGAGTCAGAGTAGGAGCACTGTTGTATCCAGTCCGCCGTTTCTCTCTAAAATAAATGCTGAAGAGAGAAATGTGATGAGAGGGAGGCGGGAGGGAAGGCATAAACATGAAGCAAGATTTGTGAATAAAACGTTTTACCTCTATTTGTGTTGGGGGAAAGAAGCACCCAACGTTGTTTTCTCATCTTTCAGTTGTGTCATTTGTGCGTCGCTGTCACTTTTCCCTTTTGTCCCGCTGTGTGTGTGTTCTTCCCTTTTGCCCCACCTCCTCTCTTTTCAAATTTCCCTCTTCCCCTTCTTTTTATCGCCATCTTTGCTTGGAAAGCTTGGCTTGGCCTCTGGTGCCCTAAGATCGAGAGACAGAGGGCGGCCGTGTATCTTTCCCTGTTCTAACGGAATATTCACTCTCGTTTTGCACTCTTCGAGGGTAGTGGAGCGAGGCCCATAGAAAGGTAAGATGCAAGTCGTGAATCTGATGACCAATGAAGACTAACCTACCTTTCGTCGGTATCGCTTGCAACGACGATGGAGTGATGGTGAAAGGAAGCAAGTAGTTTGTTCTTGTATAAGTTGATGTGTGTGTGTGTGTGTGTGTGTGTGTGTGTGTGTG